TATTGTTATTGTTATTGTTATTGTTATTGTTATTGTTATTGTTATTGTTATTGTTATTGTTATTGTTATTGTTATTGTTATTGTTATTGTTATTGTTATTGTTATTGTTATTGTTATTGTTATTGTTATTGTTATTGTTGTTGTTATTGTTATTGTTATTGTTATTGTTATTGTTATTGTTATTGTTATTGTTATTGTTATTGTTATGGTGCAATTAAAGTTAAGTGTGAAGCTCAATGAATCAATTGTCTGGTTGTAGCTGTTGGCATATGGATGTCTGTCGCAGTAGAGTATCCACCCTGTGGCCTGTGCTCTGAACCCAATTTATAGGTATGTACACAGCTTACTTGTGCTGGTAATACATACATTGATTCATTCAGTTTTGAAGTTAGGTTTAGTCTCTCAAATGTGTGAGTGTATTTGTTGACAGATTGAGGGCGTCTGCTGCGCGGAATGTCCTCTCTGTTGTCTCCAACAGCTCTTCTATGGAACTGTACACATAGCTAGACGCCGAATAGCGCGTGCAAAAATTCTGACAGTGTACCCGTGCCATATATATCATCAGGCATACATTCTAGAAATAAAATCCCAAATATAGTCAAAAACTGTTAATAGAAGCTCTGGCAACCTTTTTTCGCACCTGTATCCCTCACCAGGCGACGAGTATCGGCTGGACCGCATGCTGACGTATGCCGTTTGGCTGCTACAGGACACCGCGGGTCTAGTGCGCGCACAAGCTATCCGCACCATCACGCATCTGTTAAGCATGGTGACACGTCCTCTGGCCCGAGATCTGAATATATTCCCTGAATTTGTCCTGCCGGCCCTAAATGGGATTGCGGGGGCAAGCGAGCCCGCCACGGAGAGCGGCGCGGGGGGTATGAAAGCCAGTGCAGACAGTGGAAGGATGGGTAGGTTTGGCGGCATTTTGGTATAAATGTGGCTAGATTTTCGTATATATATATAAATATATATATATATGTATATATATATATATCTATCTATCTATCTATCTATCTATTATC